TCTGATAAGTTTATACTCTCCAAAAATGAGATGTATGTAGAAAAGGGTTACCTTAGTGATGGTCTATTCAAGTTGAACGTAATGACTGTTATACCCAATGATATTATGAATAAAGTTGTTTCTGTTTATGTGCTTGAGTCTCATAATTTATGGCATGCTAGACTAGGACATGTTAATTATAAGTCAATAAAGAAATTGATGAACATGGGGTTATTGCCAAAATTCGACTGTCCAAGTGAAAAATGCCAAGTGTGTGTTGAATCAAAATTTTCTAAGCCTCATTTTCATTCTATAGATAATAGAATCACAGAACTTTTAGATTTAATACACACAGACGTTTGTGATTTAAAAGCAATACCGTCAAGAGGTGGTAAGAAGTATTTTATAACGTTTATAGATGACTGCTCGAGGTATTGTTATGTTTATTTGCTTAGTAGCAAAGATGAGGCTGTGAATGCTTTTAGAACTTATAAGTCCGAAGTTGAAACTCAGTTAAATAATAAAATTAAGATGATAAGAAGTGACAAAGGAGGTGAATATGAATTTCTTTTTGAAGAAATTTGTTCTGAGTTTGGTATTATTCACCAAATTACTCCTCATTATGCGCCACAAGCTAATGGAGTGGTGGAAAGGAAAAATCGGTCTTTAAAGGAAACAATGAATGCATTGTTGAATAGTTTCGGTTTACCACAAAATTTGTAGGGGGAAGCTGTTTTGACGGCGAATTTTATTTTGAATAGAGTACCCCACAGAAAGACACAACAAACTCCCTATGATAAGTGGAAAGGCAGAACGCCTAATTTGAAATATCTCAAAGTATGTGGGTGCTTAGCCAAGGCTGCGATTCCTAAAACTAAAAAGGTTAAAATAGGACCGAAAACCATTGATTGTGTCTTTATTGGATATGTTATTCATAGTAATGCATATCGATTTCTTGTTCATAAGTCTGAGGTCCCCGATATGCATGTTAATACGATCATTGAGTCAAGGGACGCTTCGTTCTTTGAAAATATATTTCCGTATAACATAGTATATGAGCCAATTAACAATGATAAGAGGCCTCGGGATACTACACCTAAAAGCGATCCTATAGAGGATGAACCTAGACGTAGTAAAAGATAAAGAACTTCTAAGTCCTTTGGAAATGATTTTCTAACATATTTGTTAGAGAATGAGCCTCGGACCTTTAAAGAGGCTGTGACATCCCCAGAAGCCCCGTTCTGGAAAGAAGCGATCAATAGTGAAGTTGAATCCATCTTGTCAAACCATACATGGGAATTGGTTGACCTTCCTCCTCGCAATAAACCACTACAATGTAAGTGAATTTTCAAGAGGAAAATGAAAGCGGATGATACTATTGATAAGTATAAAGCTAGGCTTGTGGTAAAAGGATACAGGCAACGAGAAGGCCTTAATTATTTTGACACTTATTCACCTGTTACTAAAATTACATCTATAAGGATGCTAATTGCCATAGCAGCGGTGTATAGGCTTGAAATCCATCAAATGGATGTTAAAACTGCTTTCTTAAACGGGGTTTTGGAAGAAGAAATATATTTGGAACAACCCAAAGGGTTCATTGTTCCAGGACAAGAGAAGAAAGTATGTCGGCTTATCAAGTCACTCTATAGATTGAAACAAACACCAAAATAATGGCATGCTAAATTCGACCAAGTCATGTTGTCGAATGGTTTTAAGATTAATGAGTGTGATAAATGTGTATATATATTAAGAACACTCATAATAGTTTTGCTATTTTGTGCTTGTATGTAGATGACATGCTTATAATGGGTAGCGATAGTAAGGTTGTCAATACGACCAAACGAATGCTCACAAGTAAATTTGATATGAAAAATATGGGGGTTGCAGATGTTATTTTAGGAATTAAAATCCATAAGACATCTGGAGGATTAGCTCTATCACAGTCCGATTATATCGAGACGATTCTTGGAAAGTGTAAGAATCTAGACATTATACCAGTAAAGACTCCGATAGATGTTAATTTACATCTTTCAAAGAATACTGGTGAAAGCAAAGCTCAAAATGAGTATGCTAGACCACCCGCCTGGGTGGCGCTGCTGGAGCGCGCACTCTTCCTCTCGCAAAAGGTTGAGTGTTCGAATCCCGGGTGCCGCAGGGTGACTTAACCGGTGCACGTGTGTGGTGGCTAGCACGTGTCGCCCCCAGGGTTTACCTCCCGGCTGTCGGCCGTGCGGGGGTTCCCTGGGTCATCAAAAAAAAAAAAAAAAATGAGTATGCTAGTATACTAGGCAGTCTAATGTATGTCATGAACTGTACTAGGCCAGACATAGCTTGTGCTGTGAGCAAGCTAAGTCGATTTACAATTAGTCCAAATGAAAATCATTGGAAAGCTATGAAACGTGTATTAGGCTATTTGAAGCGCACTCAAAATTATGCTTTGCACTACACAGAGTATCCAGCGGTACTTGAAGGATACTGTGATGCAAATTGGATAACCGGCACAAGAGACACAAAATCCACAAGTGGATATGTGTTTATACTTGGTGGGGGAGCAGTGTCTTGGAAGTCATCCAAACAAACGTGTATTGCAAGGTCTACTATGGAAGCATAATTCATTGCTTTGGATAAGACCGGTGAAAAAGCTGAGTGGCTTTGAAATTTCCTAGAAGACATTCCTAATTGGTCGAAACCAATGCCAGCTGTGTGTATTTATTGTGATAGTTAAGCGGCAATAAGCAGGGTAAGGAATGTCATGTATAACGGAAAGTCCCGACATATACGTCGAAGACACGATACTGTAAGACAACTACTCTCTATTGGAATTATCGTGATTGACTATGTGAAGTCAAAAGATAATGTTGCGGATCCATTAACAAAAGGCCTAACTAGAGAGTTGATTGTAAAAACATCAAGGGGAATGGGTTTAAGGCCTATAAAAAAAGTCATCATAGCAGAAACCCTACCTTGTTGACTGGAGATCCCAAGATCTAGGTTCAAAGGGACAACCAAGTTATGTAGGCGGAGTAGTGTACTGTCAACTCTTACTCATTCCCGTATGGAGACAGTACTAACATGTAGAGGTTAAGTGTAAGCTTTTAATGATTTTAATTCGGGTATGTAATACACCACACAATCAGAAATCACCTATGTGAGTATGAAGGGAGGGCCACTTCTATGAAGAATTTGAAAGGCCAAATTCTTCAAAGCACTCATGAAACCAGGTGGTGTTCATGGCCAAAACGAACACAACAGTGAGAACCAACTTTGTTTGAGAGATAATTGTGTGATTTCTATTGTCTTTATTTACGCCGAAGGTCCACAGTTCAAAGACATCAAGTCTACTGATTGACCGAGTAAGTCCGATAGGTCTCACTAGGGAAAGTTCAAAGCCTTAGACTACTTCTCCCAATGCAATGTTCTCTCATGGAATAATCGCACATTGCATCTCATGCATACACGAAGAGTCATGATATATGAACTTCTCATTCATGTGGGGGATTATTGGGATTTTAGTATCCAAAATCCATAAATTGTGAATGAGAAGTGTGGATGGAAATAGTCCCATATTGGATAGAAGTTGTGATGGGAGATGGTTTATTTAGATGAGCCTCTCAAATGGGTTTGGGCCCCAAGGGGTACCCCACTTTTGTGGAAAGGAGAGGACCTACACCATGCTAGGTCGGTCCCTCCGCGTGCGCCGTCGCCGCCGTCCGGCTCGAACTGGGTCCATTCCATCAGTTTTTATTTTTTCCCGAACAGGCACGTTTTGTTAGAAATTATTTATTTATTTATTTTGGACAAACAAACATGTCTGTTCATGAGGGTTGGTTCCCCCGAACGAAAACCGCTTCGGTTCAAGCGAGCCTTCATTGCTCGCGACTGTGCACGAACCGAACGAAAACCACTTCGGGTCAAGCGAGTCTTCATTGCTCGCGACTCTTCATTTTCGCTATTTATAACCGAACTATTCTGTTCGGTCTAGTGACTCTTCGTGGCATTTTTATTCCCGCGAGACTTTTTTCCCGACACACTCTACACATTTTCATTTTTTCCGCACGGCATTCTGCTGCATTTTCTTTATCGTTGTCATTTGTGCAATTATTCTGCGAAGTTGTGTTCGAACATTTCCTTTGAAGAAGTACCGCTTCTTTGGAAAGGCGATCCATTCTATCCTAGGAGACAATTGTTTAACAATCTTGGGTACCGGTAGAGGGGACAAATTGTCTTAAGGACACAACGTGAATTCGTTGGGTTAGGATCATTCGTCGACATTCGGATTACTCGTCAGAACATGATTTTAGGTTTGTCGAATAACTTTGTTTTGCATAGACAAGCACTATTACGTGACAACACATGTGTGATGGAATTTATATACTTCAAGAAGAGAAGGTGGCATGGAGGTTTACTTGTGCATTGGAATGAAGCCATGGTTTTGAATATGCACTGGTACTGCCAAGCGCCAATTCTGGCAGTTTAATGACCCATATACCCCGCAGATAATATAGTTCTCATGTTTTTCCAGAAGAAAGGATAGGACATAAATAGAATATTATCTAAGACAAGTTGAAGCTTCTCAGTAATTAGGGTTAGCCCCTTCTTATATCTTGGTGGCACATCAACTGGAGTAGCCAAATTTTTGGTTCAGTGGCAGGCGTTTGAGTTCAGACCTCCAAATTTGCATAAGATAAGACTTATTCATTAACAGAAATTTAAAAGACGAATGTATTTAGAGCTCACAAAAAGTCGCGTCTTATGAATGCGTTTTATCTTTTCTTTTCTTTTCATTTTTCCCTTCTAGAGCTTACTCTGAGTTCTTCGATGTAGAAGATAAAGAAAGAACCCATGCTTCTTATTTCGTTCGTGGTTTAGAAAAGTCGTGAGAGAAACATAAGTTAGGATTGTCGACAGCTTCAAAGTTGGACAAATTAGTCGCAATTAAAAATTAACAGACGAATCGTAACTAAAGAAAAATCTATATAGCTAGATTGATAAAGGAACAAAAATTGTTTCTTGCTCGATGAAGATAATTCAGCTGATTTTCTGACTATATTTGAACCAAATATATTCCGAAACAGCACATCCTTTTACAACAAAATAAATGTTCAGAAACTGCATTGAACTTTACTATATGTTGCAGAGAATAATTCAATACATTGATCAAGAAACCCTTTGTAAAGCTGTACGATTGAGCGGCTAATTCCTAGCTGAAGCAACTTTATAGGATGCTGAACTTAACAGTGCTGATTGTAGTTGTAGTACCCTATCGATGAAGTAAACTTCTACAGGCACTCTGATAAAATTTGCAGAAGAATATGTTATTGAGGATAGGCAGTAGTTATTTGATCTGGGTCCAGCACGATCCCGTGAGCTGGACCCAAGAAACTACGATGCGTATTTGCTGCTGAAGTAGCGGGTAGTTGAACGGATGGAGGAATAGGCATTTCCGAAGAGTGTCCAGAAATACAAAGAGCACCAGAATCATCTTGCTGCCAATATACCTCAACCATGACGCCTCTAGAATTCTCAGCTGATTGCGTTCCAGAAATCCCCACAAATCGAGCTCCCACTGGGATCTGAACCAAATTGCAGTATAAGAACAAAAGCTTTGGTCAGGCTGATGAACTTACAGTCAGTTTTTTACAAGTCGTTCATAACTTTAATAGGCTAATACAGTCTTCAAGGACACATGACATTTTAAAGTAACTTTACCAACGCTGTAGCCTATAGTCTATAGGACTTTCCTCGTATTTAGTTTCTCACCTGGACTGAGGTTCCAGATGTCAAAGTTAGTGTCACCAAGCGTCCTTCAGTTGCAGCATTTTCTAGCTCTGCCTGCTTTGCAATATTCAGAAAAACTTCCTCAAGAGTCGTCAAACCAAGCTGGATATCTGCTATGCCAAACTCTTCCTGTTTATCTTGGAGCTCCACAAAAAATTTCTGTTGAAAGCATATAAGCTGTGTTAGGAAAAGCGAAAAAGGAGTCTTACGAGGAAAACAATTTAGATAATCTCCATACAGACGTTCTTCATGTAAAGTGATGTGAAAAACTATCATTTCAAAGTTTGGTTCAATCTATACGGCAGTGATTGATTACTCCTTAATCTACGAAAGTTAACACTTGAATAAATTTTAGTGCTCCCATGACAATCTTGAGCATTTAATTGTCATTTTCAACCCAAAAACATGTATCGGTTGCAATTAGCAAACAATTCTCTTGACTAAGGACAAGGAAAATCTTGCCACTGACAGTGCTTATAAGAAGGGTGTTAACATCCAACAGAGGAGCATTTCTAACTTTTCGGTGACAATACAATATCCATGCATAAGTCAAATTAGATAGAAGTTACAAGAACATCATCCTGCTAGACCAAATAATGTAGCTGTCAACAGCTCACAGAACTTGTAACAGCATCTCCATCACTGTTTCCCAATTCTTTTCAACATTTAAAAAGACAAAAGAGCCTGAAAAGGATAGGAGTCAGCGATGGGATTAATTACCGTCAAAAGTGCTTCTCTATCATGGGGTATAACAAAAGTCAGAAAGGTCTTGTTCTCCTCTTTTGGTACAATATCCAGATGCTGTGAAGGAAAAGGAGAGCCAGAAATTGGCACCAGATGAAGAGAAAGCTGCACTACAAAGAACAAAAAGCTGCCCTATCTGCTCACCCACAGTTTTGAAGAATTGTTTCACAGCCTCCTGATCAGTCTTCAAAACCACATCTCCTCCAGGAGGACTTGCACCATTGCTGGCAGTGAAGCTCACATTGGCAATAAAGCCCGTTCCGAAGCGAGATTTGAGCCTGATTGAGGTTCCAAGGCAGTAAAGTCTTCCCTTGGCCATTATTCCTATACGGTCACTTAAAATATCAGCTTCTTCCATTGAGTGTGTCGTTAAGATGATAGCGCGTCCTTTCTTGGCAACCTCTATTATGTTCCAGACATGCCTCCTTGTAACTGGGTCCATGCCTGTTGTCTGCAGCAGAAAATAAAGTACCTTTCAGAATACTCCACACACACAACATTTGTCCATTAAGGAGAAAAGAAGATAAGACGTCATCCACGTACGGGTTCATCTAAAACCACTAATTTGGGTTCACCAATAAGGGCTATAGCAACACTTAAGCGACGTTTCATTCCTCCACTGTAGCTCCCAGCTCTCACTTTGCCTCCTTCTGTTAGTCTGACCTCTGCCAGTGACTTTTCAACCACCTGAGCAGAAAAGTCAAAAGTGGTCCTCAAATTAAACAAACAGAAAAAAATTTCTCTTAGTGTAAGATTAGAAGCAGATTCATAAGCTCCGAAAAAGTAGAGGAAGTTGGGAGCATGTACCGATTTGATTGAAGCAGGGGCGAGCCCTTTAATATTTGTGAAAAGGTAGAGATGCTCTTCACCAGTCAACAAGTCCCAAAGGGTATCAAACTGCAATTGACAATAGATTTTAGGACAGCTGTTCATTCGTTTTTTACAAATAATTAACTATAACTGCAAGGAGGATAATTGCAATACAGCCAAACCTACATAGCAGAATTATGCTCCTCTGCTGTTTGTACTTAGATGCAAAGGTGATAAAAATGGAGGAGAAAGGTTAACCTGAGAACAAACTCCGATAATTTTTCTGATGTTTGACATGCCAATCGAATTTCTGATAGAGTAACCATACACCAAAGCTGTTAACACAAGACAGCAATATGACATTATGCACCGCATTATTGATACAAAAGTTTTGTACTACGCCAAAAAGAAAATAGCCAACTAAAAGCTATTACCATCTCCCCCTGTAACTGGGGTGATTCCTGTCAAACAATTTATCGTCGTAGTCTTTCCAGCACCATTGGGTCCAAGAAGACAAAACAGCTGATCTTTGGCAACGTTCACCCACAGCTCCTACAGATAATTTAAAAGTAACAGCGGTTACCCTATCCAAGCATAAATCAAGTCATACAGGATACTCGTGTCTAGTGTTGCATCTGTCATCTGATAATTTCGTACTGAAATAGTACCTCACATAAGTTGATGAGCAATTATTAGAGGAAAAAAGTGCAGATAACTGGAATTGCTTAGTTACCTTAATAGCATGGTATGTGGATTTCCTTTTGCATTTACAGCAACCAAGTCGAGTGGTCCCAGGATAAGTCTTCCCAAGGCCACGAATCTGTACTGCGACATTAGGATCAACTAAGCCTTCTTTTGCTTGTGCTTTCACAATACTTTCCTCTTGGAGAACATCTTCGTCATCCGGAGTAACATGCTCCAATGGGGGAACTGAACCAATGCAACTACAAATGCCACCCTCTGTCAAGACAGGAAAGACTACCTCATGAAAACATGTAGAAGGAGGAAGCATGCCCTCACATCAGAAATTTCAAACTCTACCTTCCCCTTTGCCTCCACCTTTCCCCGTCCAGTAGCCAGGATTTAAGAAATAAAACATTGACTTCCTCACTCCAGATGCATTTGGGAATACATTATCAAAATAGATAGCTAAAATAAACCACACAAAGAAAGTTGCCACAAGCCATATATAGATGTCGTTCTGTTAGACAAGAGTAGAAAAAAAAAGGTGAATGTGCCTTAGTATGATGTAAGACGACAATAAAACAAAGCGAAAACGGCTCAGCAGCGATTTGAATGACTATTTGTTAATGTAGAAACTTTTGAACTTCAGAGATACTACATACAATTGATATCACGCATTCTGTGTCCTTTGGTGCGCACTTCGCACGCCTCCTCCAGCTAATTCCAGGATCGTCGGGGGTGGAAGTTGCTTGAGAGAGCAGCTTCAGAGCTTCAGCAAGGAGATTCGGTGGAAAGAGTGACCAGATGGCTCGGTAACGATTATCGAAGATTTGACTGTAGGGAAATCCATACGCCGTGACAAGCTGCAAGAGCCAAAAGCAAAGATTCTCAAAATAAATATCACTCTGAATACATTACCAAAATATCGGGAAGTCAGGATATCTTGCCTGAGTTAGAAAGCCAATAATAAATATGGAGAAACCCACAGTTGTGGATGAAGAGGCCTTGCTAATGAAGGCTGACAACATGAAGGCAAAGCCAATCTAGTAACAGAGAAGAACATGTCAATATATAAGGCCATGTCCTTTCACTATGCCGCCTCAAATAAAATAATCCATTATAACATGGCATAAGAGGTATCGTACCATATTGAGTTGGAATAGGAAGAACAACAGGAACACGACAGGGAAGCTGTTATTCAAGAAAAAATCAAACTGAAACATCATCCCGAAGAGGACTATGAACAACGAAGAAAGGATCGTTATGATGCCCTCCCAAGTGAGCCATGAAAGCCAATAGGCAGTATCGTAAAGGCCCATCATGGTCATCGCCTGCAAAAATATAAAAAAGTGAAGGTGAACGCTTTATAGGTGCATAACAATGTTTCTGTAAGCCAGTAGCGTTCAAAGGCAATATACCTGGCGGAGTTTCAGCTCCTTTTCTGTGATCAAAGAACTGATTTGAAGTACAAAGCTAAACATGGCGACTGCAAGGAAGAAGGCTGGCCCAACAGTGGCAACTGCAGAGAAAATTTCAACTGCAGGGTGTGCAAATTCCTTCAGCCCAACAACCCAACTAAACTTTGAATCTGCAAAGTGAAATATTACGTGGCATGACAGGTCAACAAAGGAACAGGTCCAATCTCATCAAGCATACAGGACCATTCAGTGAAGCAACACGAGGATGAGATACCTCCAATAAGAGACCGCGCAATTTCCCGCTCAGCCGCAATCTGAAGAGGTATCTGAAACTTGAAAGTGGGATCCTCATATTGACCTCGCTTCATAACTGGAGTGGAGTTAGTTTGTATGCCATACCGGATGACACTGGAATTCATTTCCGTGAAATGCAAAGCTCCAGGACACCGCATAGGATTACTGTACAACCACGCGTCCACTTCCTCGGCCGTTCCAAATGACAAAACCTTCAGACACAGAACTCACAGAGCATCAACTGATCGCATAGGTTTTTGTACAACAAAAACCCAAAGTCTCAATGTCAAAACAAGTTCAAATTACCACCCAACCTAATTCGGGAGGCACTAACATTTCTCATCATTTTTTCCAAAACTCTATTGAAGTCCTGCTTCGGAAGATTACCCACGCAGAAACTTGGAGTTGCACTCCTATTGCTTTCTAACCAAAAAGCACTTTCATCATCTACAGTGAAATACAAACTACACAAAGGCCTCTATGTACTACAGCCAAGCCATGTAAAATGTTCTGCAATTTTTCATTGACACGCAGGATAGTAGACTGCCTCCTCCGCAATGTCGACATAAATTGCACCGAAAATCTTAAAAGCCACAAAATGGCACATACACAGACACACCCACCTTGCTCTCAGGAATGGGCCTGCCGGGGTTATTGTTCCTTATGCTGTCCACGATCCCCGCGACCGCGCCGCTGGCGTTGCCGCTCCAGACGAAGTCGAAGCAGGGGGACCTGACGTAGAACTTGTCCTCGCAGGGCGGGATGGGCGGGGACACCAGGGGCTCCGGGTCGGCCACGCCCTCGAAGGCGGCGGACCGGGCGATGCGGGCGTGGGTGGCCTTCTCGACGCAGAAGATGAGGAAGATGAAGAAGAAGGAGGAGAAGAGGTGGAGGAAGGTGGCGCGCCTGTTCCGCCACGACAGCAGCAGGTTCTTCCTGAGCAGGGCCCTGTACTGCTGGAGCAGCAGCGGAGCTCCGCTCTGCAACTCCATGGAAGAAGAAGAAGAAGAAAATCTCGAGCCCTCGATCGATGTCGAGTTGATCTGCTGTTAGATCGAAGCCGAAGTCGAGAGCTTTTTTCTGCTCTGGGTTTTTTCGAGCTCTCTCCGACAGAGCGAGTGTGCGTGCGTGCGTGTGTATACTGTTTGTAACGACCGAAAATGGCGCGTTTTGGAAACGGACGGCCGAGTCGAAAAGGGGTCTAGAGTTGTGGGAATTTACGGAATTTTGCCATTGGTTGTTCTTAATGTAACAAGGGTGAATACCGTGAAAAACTTCAAACCGGTACACCCTTGATAAATTTAATTAAAACTAATATTTTGACCATAAAAAATCTCAAATTGACACATTTGTGACAAATGTACCTTCTAATAAATTAGATTAATACCATGAAAAATTACAAAGTAATATACTTGTGACAAACGGAGGGTAAAATCACAAACCGATACGCCTAACAACTGTCACGTGTCATCGAACTCAAAATTTTGACAGTTATATTTATCGAAAATGAACAGAGGGTAAAATTGTCGCAGGTGTATCAGTTTGGGACTTTTTATGGTCAAAAAATTATTTTTGAATAAATTTATCATATGTGTATTAGTTTGTGTTTTTTTATGGTATTAACTCATGTAATAAAGCAGACGAAGACTTGTAGCCATTGATCGTAGGTTGGTTGGGATGTGAACTTAGGAACCTTCCGAGCATCTTCTTCTTGGATAAAACTGGTAATATATAGGACTGATTAACTTAATAGAATGGTTTTATCTTGAAAAGCTTTGAAAGCTTCGAGCCTATTAATGTTCAATATAACTACCATGGAAATGGGAAGTCATAGGTTGGCCAATCAAAACGAAACAACCTAATCCCCGCTTGATCTTTCCTTTTTATGGCAGATTTCGTGCAGCTGCGATTGCATCGGCATCTTCGTATCCATCTCTCCTGCTAAATTATTTATATCATCGATTGTCCGACCCTTCTGGGTTAAGAATCATATATTACTTGCTAACTCAACGCAGTTCACAGCCGAAGGACCGGTCGGGTTGATTAGCACCTAACGCATCAGCTCGTATCTTCACGAGATTTGATCGCGGCTAATTACTCGACAGTGCGAAGGCGACTTTCTTAGGGGTCATTCTTAGTTTAGAGGCCTGTCGGCAAGAGTGATTGCCGTGGCTTATTTGGTGCTCTAAAACTCCGGGACATCCAAAATAAAAATTAAAAAAAAAACAAAAAATCGATAAGGATTTACAAAACAAGTGGAAGATAAAAAATTTCAATTTGCCATGCGTTGGTCGCTGTGGAGCATGTGATTTTTGGTTTGGGTGGGGGGGGGGGGGGGGGGGGGGCAAAGGCTAATTTGGTAATTGAAGGCAAAGAGGGTAAAGGGCAAAGCTGTCAAAAGGCAAAGGCCATTAAAAGTTCAAGAATCTGCAGGATTATTAATTTCCATCAGTCAAGAAGTCAAACAAAATCGAATAGATGATGAAAGCTGACGTGGCGAAAGTCGTCCGATCATGTCTCGTCCTTTGATCCTTTCCTCGTGCTTTGTCTTTTGTCGCTTCGGTTGGAAAATCGGTTTGAACTCTCCGGACCGCTCGATCAACGGTCGAATTGTCATCTAGTGCTCCTCTCTCGACCTGTCTCAACGGCTACCTTTTGCGCGCTCGCGAGCGAGAGAGATGGATCGAGATCTGCTGAGGTTAATACACTCCGCGAAACACCCGAGCCACTTCAAGCAGATCCACGCTCTGGTCATCACTGCGTTCCCTTCGCTCGCGTCGATTCTGGTCAGGAGGCTGTCGAGCGTGCCTATGGTGGACTATGCCCGGAAAGTGTTTGATCGAATTCCCCAACCAGATGAGAACTCGTCTAACTCGCTGATTTCGATGTATACTCGGCTTTCTTTGCACGAAGAAGCCGTGGAAGTACTCAGATCGATGATGCGGAACGGTGTTTGCGTAGACTCCTACACGGTTCCGCCTATTGTCAAGTCTTGTTTATCGTTGGCAGACTTTGATTTAGGAAAGCAAGTGCATTGTTTGGCGATTAGCTGTGGATTAGACGCGGATGCCTTTGTCCAAACTGCTTTGATGAACTTCTATTCCGGGAGTGGTGAATTAGCTTCTGCTGAAAAAATCTTCAAAATGATGGCTACGAAGGATCCCGTTGCTTATAATTGTTTGATTTCTGCCTATTCTAAGTCGGGCGACGTTTTAGCTGCGAGAAAGATGTTTGATGAAATGCCCAATAGGTCCACTGCTTCTTGGAATTCTTTGATCTCATGTTATGCCTGCAATGGGGACTATCAAGAGGCATTGAGGATCTTCGAAAGGATGAAGGATGAGAAGTGCAATCCAAATGAAATCACTCTGGCTTCGGTTCTTTCCATCTGTGCTAAGCTTGGGGACCTCAATGCTGGGTCGAGCGCAGAAAAGTTTATTGATGATAACAACCTTTACCGAAATACGATACTTTCTACTGCAGTTCTGGAGATGTATCTAAAGTGTGGGGCTGTTGAAGAAGCGCGTCGAGAATTCGACAAGATGAATAAAAGAGATGTTGTTACATGGAGTGCCATGATTGCTGGCTACGCTCAAAATGGGAGACCAGAGCAGGCCTTGAAGCTCTTTGAGAGCATGAAGAACGAGAACATTAAACCTAATGACGTAGCACTGGTTAGCATTTTATCAGTTTGTGCTGATTCAGGTTCTGTTAAAGCTTGTGAAGAAATTGGCCACTATGTAGAGAGTCAAGGCATGGCTTCTAATGTCTTCGTAGCATCTGCCCTTCTTGATATGTATTCAAAGTGTGGGAATATAAGCAAATCTCGTCAGATATTCCTTAATATGCCCAAAAAAGACACTGTCACCTGGAACTCGATGATTGTTGGCCTGGCTACAAATGGACTTTCAGAAGATGCATTTGCTGTCTATAAGCAAATGATCAAAAATGGAGGCCAACCCAATGATATAACATTTGTTGGACTCTTGACTGCCTGCAGTCATGCAGGTCTTGTTGAAACGGGGCTTGAAATTTTCAGACACATGAAAATTGATCATGAGATCGTTCCTCAAATAGAACACTACGCTTGTATCGTGGACCTCTTTTGCAGAGCTGGTAGATTGAAAGATGCCTATGATTTCATTTGTGGAATGGAGGTAGAACCAAATGCTGTGATATGGGGCTCTTTATTGAGTGCTTCTAGAATCTACATGAATATTGAGCTAGCTGAGCTCTCAGTTAAGAAGCTGGCAAAGCAAGATCCTGATAGTTCTTGGTATTATGTTCTTCTATCAAACATTTATTCCGGTACTAGCCACTGGCAAGAAGCCCTAAATGTGCAAAAGATGATGAAGGATAAGAAAGTGCAGAAAGTAGCAGCTTATAGTTGGGTAGAAGTGGATAACAAGCTGCATAGATTTTTAGTTGGTGATACGTCTCACCCTAGAAACACTGAGGTCTATGGTACTGTCAATGGGTTGGCAATGCAGTCCAGATGGGTCAATCATGATTTTGACTCTAGCCTACGACTGTAATGTTTCTCACATAAAACGCTTGAAGATGCTTCATTGAGCTGAGGTAGTTGGAGATCTCGCTGGACGGCGACAAGATCATTTTTCTACACAAACAGCTCTTGCTTCCTTGTCTAAGTTGAAGAAATATCTGGTACTCTAGGAAAATGAGGAACATTGCCTAAACCTTGGAAAAATATTGTACATCTGAACTTAAAGGCTGAGATGACAGACAGGTATGCGACAATTGGCCCCCAAGTTTGGTACGGGAGGAAAGAAAAAGTAGAAACGTCTCTTGGTTTGGAGCACATGAATTGCCCATGAAAATGTATTTCAAGTCACTGCTTAATCTCAACAAGCCCTTCATTTACGCCCGATGGTGCATGGTGAGGCAATACTTTTGGCTTATCAGAAATATGCCAGTGCCACTGCTAATTGTCACAATAGTTGGTTAGTTGCTAAAACTGATGCTGCGTAAAGCCTGTGAAACTTAGATTTCCAAAATTATTCAGGTTCATAATATATGAGCAATCAATCATTTCTTGCTTACATTTTTCGCGGATATGGAGCTGAATTGCTGTGCGTTTACATCATATCAGACATAATTCAAGGTAATGGCTCATATTTTTTCTTCCCTACATTCTGAGAAGTTATTATTGTTATATACATTCGTTTTTGACTTTTTCCTCATCTGCACAATTATTCAATACAGTTGCCATTCTTACGTGTAGAAATGGAACCCCAAAGCTTTCCTTTTCTGAAATTTTCTTTTCCATCCCTATACATCAAACAGGAGAAAAACCTCAAATTTTATCTTTGAAGTGCTTTTGCAGAAGGTGTTCTTTTTATGTTGAAATGCTCAGGTAAAACATGCTGTCGCATTAAAAGTCAATATTGTTTGTCATTTACTAATAAGTTTGCATGCTAAAGAATGACGGCATAAGCCTCTAGAGTGGTGGGCTGGAAATTTTGGTCTGTTCTGTGGCCCACATCCAAAGTGTGGTGTTTCAACTTGTACATTGAGAACATGTGAATGCTTATTGCCTGTTGTTGCAAATTTTGCCCCTATCGTACAGACTTTCAGCTAAGCAAATGAAATATCTGTTCAAATCGATTTGGTGACTTAGAAATGTATTCCCGTCTGCATTTCTGGGTATACCTCCATGGTCAGACATTGTTCACAGGGTTTATCTAACACTTCACTTTAGGCATGAGGTCAGTCATCTATTTGAACACAACCAATGTCTTCGACTTAGAACTGCTTTCCTGGAAACTCTGCTCTCTCTTGCATGAAATAACACTCTTAAGATAACACACTTGTTCTTTACTCTTGAACACTGTGTCATTGCATATGATATTTGACTATAATTTTCTTAGGAATTAAGGAATAGTAACTACTCACCTGGTCAATGGCTGCATCACTGCCTAATCTACTAGATTTATGTTCCTTATATTTAATATTTAGGTTCTCTCACAGTGATGAATGGCAAAGGTGCTGTTGTCCAATGCCTGAGCGCCATGTGCATAGTTTATTTGCTTTTTGTATACACAAATCAATAATTCTCTTACATCTTCTACTCAGTTTGCTTTTCAGCATGTTGCTGTGTGCTTCAATCATATTTAACTTCAGTTTGTTACTGAAAATGACGGGCTTATTCTTCTGGCTGAAGAAAATGATCAGACTGTCAGTTGACTTGGCTTAGACCAACAAATTGTTGATTATTATTATTAAAGCGGGTGGAATTCTGCAAATATCACCTGGAAGCAGAAGTTTTGCACTTCCCTTGACAACAAGGTTCAAGTGAAAGCGAATATACTGAGGAGATGGCAAATCTGCACCTCTGCAGCCATTGACTGCTATGCAACGTGTTCTCATTGGGCGGCTGATCGAGAAATATGGAGATGACTCTCAGGTTTTTCTCAAATCAAATATTCAGCTACATGATTGTTCTGCCGTTAGTGCAACTTGTGTTGCTTATAATGCTCTTGTTTTCCTCAGGCGATGTTTAATGATACAAAGTTGATTGCGATGCAGCATTCAGTTGCAACTTTGGAGAAACTGTGCAAAAGGTATCACATGTACAAAGATAAGAATCCTTTGATACTTTCTTGTAGGAGGTCCAATTTTGCTCTTCATATTCTGCAGTAGGCATTTAGTAAGTGTTGTCTTCTTCATTTTCTCTGGTGCTAGTAGAAGAGTCCATGTGCTGACTTATTTGGTTTAGTTGTGGGTTATCAGACCCAGTACTTCGATCCTTTTTTTTTTTTTTGGCTTTTGAGACAGTTTTAAATTAACAGATTATATCTATTTCCGCTGAGTGCATGACTTGCCTACTCTCTTTTCAAATATTTGTGTCAAAATGTCTTTCGTGGGAGTTGATGGAGTTGTCTGAACATCTTTGCTTACGATCTAAGTTTGTTTCATGAATAAGTCTCATGTAATGATGTACTGGACCCATGGAAAGATGTTTTCGAGTTTGACAGGCAGCACATTGTGCACCACGCACGTAATAAGGTTATGCTGTCTCTTTAATGGATGAATACTGAATGCTTCATAATAAACTAGAATCGAGTCACCAAGGGTATCAATGCTCAATTATGGAGTGATTAATTTAATTAGTTGTCATAGATCTTGTGAAGGCAATCGAAATAGATGCGGACATATGCACGTACTGCAGGTGATATTTGCATGTAAAGATCAGAGAAATGGAACAAAGTCATGAATCAGTAGCTTCTTTGTTATTAATTAAGCCATCTTTGCAGAGTTATTCTAATTTAAATCAGATCTTCATTCAGATATTTTGTGATCAGAGCTTTCCAGTTCCGACGTCGCAAATGAAATAGGAGCATATATATAGGATCTTGATCACCAACATGAAGTGCATACGAGTCGGAATTTTTGATCTAGTAGTGCTCTACAAACTGAAGCGAAAGCCTTGTATTTTGATCTATGTTTAGGTATTCATCACAGATGGAGCTCTATCATTGTGATCATAATTCGTTGTAACTATGCAAGCAATTAACAGTTAATCTCTTATTACTATTTGTGCTGAAACTCAACTCCATCTTTTCATATGTATGATGTTTAGTGGTTTGTTTTGATAGAGGATGGTGATGAAAGTTCCTAAAAAATTGGTGATGGAAGGTGTCTTATCAAATTTGGTGAAAGAAATCTTGCTTTGATTCACTACCCTAAACGAACCGAACAGACCTGTATTTTCTATTTGGGTAAGATTCGTTTAGGGTCTCATTTCGAGTCACAATATACACATACCCAGATGCTTGAATTCAGCTCGAGTATCACGAAAACCCTAAACCGAATAGAATCGTTGACATCCCTATCACCTATTTTCTTGTCCATCATATTTCACGTGTTGTTTCCTAGTGCCCGTATGGTAAATATGTAATTCAAGTGTAAACAATGTATGTGGACGAGGGTATATTTGACTTAATGTAAAGTCCCCCGGGGTGTTTTCGAACATTCGCTTCAGACTCGGGAGGAAAGGCAAGGCGCGTGAAGGGCGAAACAGACATTTCGCGAAGGGCAAATCCGGTACACCGCTCTAATCAGAAACTGTCGCTTTAGTACCAAAACGGGAATTAACGTTATACTTAGGGGCATATCCGACAAATGACGCCTCTCTCCACTGTTTTTTTTGTTCATCCGACGCAACGCAAGAAGTAAAGCGGGCGAAGCTCGGATTCCTGGAGAGACCCTTCTTGCGGAAGATCATCAGAGGGAACACATTGGCCGGAATCTTTCAAGGACGGCTCAAGAAGACACACCCAGAACACCAAAAGACTCTGTTTCGCAGGTTGAGTTTGAAATTCGCTCACTCCTCGAGAGAAGTTTGCAACGGTCGAGCTTACTGTGGGACTCAATGGCGGAGCCGTCGAATGGTCCGGCGAGCTTCTGGACTCAGGCCAATGCCTTGCTTCGCAAGAACTTGACCTTCCAGGTTCGCTCTCTCTCTCTCTCTCTCTCTCTCTCTCTCTGAGCATCTTTTTCTTTATGCCGGTCCTTTTCCGCGTTGAGTGGCGGGAGGGTGCGTCGGTTTGGCTTTAGTGAGCCGTGATTAGGATCTTGAATGCATCATTTCGTGCCTTGATGATAATTCTTGGATTAGTTTGGTTGGGACTGTTGTTGGGTGAATGTACAGTCGTCTTGATTGATGGATAATGTGCGCAGAACTGAGTCTTGCAATTTCAAGTTTTGATTTTGAGTTTGCGTCTCCATTGAACTTGGTTATTTTCCTTGTTGATGGTTACTATCTCGATTAATTTTATTGCGATTTAGTTCAGTATTACGAAACCACTGTGGCATCTTATACTGGAATAAGTTGTGGCTCCTCCTTTTTGGTATATGAGTCGACTTTATCGTGTGAGTAATGCTTGCCATGGTTCTTCGTGCTTATACTTTAATGGGCTACGAGTATATCAAGATCTAGTGCTGTATTAAACGGTGCTTGTTCTTTGACATTCGTATCTCTTTTAAATTACATAATTTCTTTCAGTATAACTGGATGAGTCCATGATGCAGCTCATAGAACCATTTGTGACCACAAGTCTGCCCTGATTCCACTAGCATGCTCTGAAGTTAGGATGGAGTAAAAATACCATGCACAATCGATGTCTGGCCTTCTTATCTTCAGTTTAGCCCCCGGGAATTTAATCTTTGCTATTTGAACTTTTTGGAATCCAGTAGCCAAATCCTCTTTTGTGTAGAAAGCATAGAGTTAATTTGAAGCCAATATGACCTTCATATCTATCAGTATAACCTCTTAATGGGCCCCGGTAAGGCTAAACAGGACATATATCATGCTTTATGTTACAGTAAGGTCCAACAAATTCAACTAAGGATGATCTGATGACGTTGTTTATACTATCCTTTCGCAGAAACGGAATATTAAGACCAATATCCAGCTCATTTCTTTTCCATTTGTCCTCTGTTTACTCCTTGTTCTCATCCAAATTTTGGTCAACCATGAACTGGACAAGCCTGGCAATAAGTGTGGCTGTGAATGTATTGATACGGATGGAGATGGGCAGTGCAAGAAGGTGTGTGGGATTCAGTACTCCACCGTTGATCAAGCGGGAACCTGTCCAATACTAAATCCTCCTGAATGGCCTCCCCTATTACAAATACCGGCTCCACAATATCGTGCAGTGAAGACGGACTTTATACCATTTAATGACTTGCCTAATGATTCCTGCAGAAGGACAGGGTCTTGTCCTGCGACCGTACTCTTTACAGGAAATAATCGATCTCTTGGAGAAAGTATATTCACTGGCTCCTCTATATGGTTTTTCCTTTCCTTTAAAATTAAGATGCTACCATTTGATAGTAGGAGAAACATTTCTAAGTTTTGACTTTGTTTTTAATGTTATGTTTTCAGTTTTGGTGGGGAATATGGTTCCAAATTCTTCTACTCTGAATTCTTCTGACGTTTTAGGCAGCTTAGCCCAGAATGTCCTGGTAGGTTTTCCTTTCGTCTTTGTTTCACGTTATACTAGGATCAGCAATTACCATATTCCTCTGCTGCTAATGTGGCTTCTGAAAATTTTCAGGGTACTGCTTCAGGGCTCAACTGGCACAACTATCTTGAACCTGCTTTTTTCTCTGACCATCTTGTGTACGCGGTTCAACAGCAGTGCACAGGAAACTCTTCATTGACTGTTGCTATTCAGGAATCCTCCATACCATTTCAACTGGGTAGGAAAATTCTTTCTTTACTTCTTTTTGACATGTCTGAAATGCATTATTTCTCTATAAATAGGTTTGCCGCCAATTTTTGTGATTCTTAAAAAAGGAAACAAAAATATGGATGTGCATCAATGCACAAAGTTGAAATCAGAGGAACTGATTCTGATTGCTAAGAATATACTTACACCCGAGGCACCAAGAAGAGGGAATGGGAACTTTGATCGGAAGCAAGAATACTCACCCACATGTGTGCCTAAACTGCTCTCTACTTTCTGGATAATGTTCAAGAAGAGAAGATAATGAGTCCAATGGAAACCTGTCCCGCACTGGTTTTTCAATTGATGCAAATAGATAAAATGTAAAAGCAAGGAACAAAGAGGAAGAAAACGAGATCCATCTGGGAATGCCCGTTTAGCTTCACTTCACTTTGTTTATTGTGATGTGGGAAACTTTGCATTCCTTCATAGAGAGTGCTAAGATTGTAGGTTTGCTACCTCAACATGAATTAAGATACCCAGTTATCTATATTTATAAAGCAAAGAGAGACAGTCTTGCATAATACATCAATCTCTAGCTATGTTATCTGAGATCTACCTGCCAAATAATTACTAATAAACAACTTTACGTGTAATTAACCTAGCATCTTCTTTGACCAAAAAAGATTACTCCTCTTATAATTCCCTAAAATCCAAATGTGTGACCTGTTAGACTATATGTTGCACAGTAGTTTTCCAAGAATCCATGCTATTGCTGAGAAGCTTCGTTGATGGGTAAATAAAAAATTTAGTGTAGATTGGTATGAATAAATTCTGGAGAAAGCTTGGTAAAGTCTAGAATCCTTGATTGCAAATCGTCCTTCAAAATAAAGCTGAATGATGCTTGATTAGTGGTTTTTCCTCAAAAAATCTGGCTAATTAAGTTTGTAATGTAAAAGGTGCAAAGAATGGCTAAACCATCTGGCTGAAAAGGAAAGCCCTTGAATTGGTTAATTTTTATTGATGGATTAGGGTTTATGGATGTGTGGGCCGCCCAAGTTGGGCTAACCCAGCCCATGACCCATCATGAGGGCCCATATCAAGTAACTGCTCTGGCAGTTACTTGCGGATCATGTAACTGCCCCTAGCAGTTCAAATAAACAAAAAAAGAAAAAGGGAAAAGATTGTAATCTCTATCTAAAGTGTAGAGCATGATTTAGAAAAGTAAAGAAAAACGACGTTCCGCTCTCTTCCCTGATGCACGATCCAACGAGGAACTCTCTCTCCTGCAATTGACAGCATTT